AGTGTGCTCCCAAATTGGGCAGGCTGTTTGGCTGACTGGGATGAGCATGCTCCCACAGCAGCCCGATCCTCACAGGCCATGCGCCGCCACCAGTGCACAAATCCCATGCACCGGACTTCAAATTATTTAATCCTATCAAATAAAAGAGAAACATGGTAATTAGCATACGTCCGCTTCCCTTCCATTGGCTAATCAGGGTGATATGGAAATTAACTGCCAGCCACGAATGCGGCCAGCAGCCAGGCAGCTTGAAACTAACATGAGGTTTGCTTGCTTCAGTGACGGAGGACTCCAACATTCCTGCCTGCCTCGCCGGCCCCTGAGCCTGCGGTTTAAGAAACATAACAAATATAGAAGCTAAAAACCCCGAAACCTGCTTTCAGCGAGCCCGGGATCTCAGAGCTAGAGTTGATACAGAGTTTCAATTATAGAACCGAAACAAACCAGATACCTGCTTTCTGGAGCGGAGGCCTAAGAGCTGGAGCCTCAGAGCTAAAGCTGGCCCAGAATAAAGAAAAAAAGGAGCGGTTGGGAGCTTCAGTCAACCGCCAGCCTGTAAATAGCCCTCAGCCCCTCATCCAGACTGGCCAGGCACCCCAAAGGGGACCCCCACCCTGATCCAGGACACCCTTCAGGGCAAACCAGCCACCCCCCACCCATGCACCAGGCCTCTATTCTATATAGTAAAAGGGTACCAGGTCACTCTGCCCCCCAAGAGAACCCCCCCCCTGATCCAGGACCCCCTTCAGGGCAAACCAGCCAGCCCCCACCTATGCACCAGGCCTCTATTCTATATAGTAAAAGGGTAATATGCCTCCCAGCACCGGGATCAGCATGACAGGGGGCAGCGCCCAAACCCCCTGATCGCCTTGCAGCTCTGTGTGTGATGGGGGGGTGGGGAGGGACCACAACCTCCCTATAGGCCCTTCTCTGTGCCTGACATGGGGGAACTCCCTAACCCCCTGATCCCCCTTCGGCTCTGTGTGTGACAGGGTACGGTGCCCCCTCCCATCCCCCACATGGGCCCTAATCTGTGTGTGACGTGGTAAAGCCATAACCTCCCTATCGGCCCTGCCTTGAATGTGACAGTGGCGGCACCCCAACCCCCCTGATGGGCCCTGCTCTGTGCGTGACAAGGGGTATTGCCCCAGAACCCTGATCGGCCCTGCTCTGTGCATGACGGGGTGGTGCCACAACCTCCCTATCGACCCTGCCTTGAGTGTGACGGGACGGTGCCCCAACTCCCCAATCGGCCCTACCCTGAGCGTACCTGAGGGTGGCATCGCAACCTCCCAATCTGCCCTGCTCTGTGCATGACAGGGGACGATGCCCCAACTCTCCTAGCAGCCCTCCTTTGAGCCTGACCAGGGGCTGCACCTAGGGATTGGGCCTGCCCTCTGCCACCTGGGAGCAGGCCTAAGCCAGCAGGTCGTTATCTCCCGAGGGGTCCCAGACTTCGAGAGGGCACAGGCCAGGCTGAGGGACCCCTCTTTCCCCGCCGAGTGCACAAATTTTTGTGCACCGGGCCCCTAGTATATATATAAAAGCCAAGCGGCCAGAACAACCTGTTGCTATAAAGTGCACTGTGGCTCCCCAACCGGACCTTTTGAGGGGTGTGGCCCCCCTCAGCCGTTCTGGCCCCCAATGGGCTCTCTCCACTCTAATTGGTGGTGCGGCTGGATGGCCAACTGCCTGCGCCCCCGGCCCAACCTGATTGGCCCCCATGAAAGGGGATGTACCCCACCCATTCACAAATTGGTGCACTGTAAAGGAATACAAGCTAGAGAATTTTTTTCAGTTTAAAGGACACCAAAGAGACTAGTAATTAAATATAATGCATTTTCTTTCATTAGGTTTTAGTTTCAGGGAAATAGCTGTGCATATTAGGGAAGTTTAAATTGGGATATGGTAGATAATATGTTTAGGTCTTTTTATCCCATATTTATTTTGCACACACAGAAAACTAATATAATTTTTTTCTAATCTTGTGTATTTTTCCTACACTCGGTGAATAGTACATATTTTTTGTGACAAGAATGGTTTAACATTGTTCTTTATTTTTTGTTTTTATTTTAGATATAATGTGCAATAAATTTTCTTTTATAGGTTTGGATAAATACCTCAGACATTATATTGGTTGGTCTGCGAGACTATCAGGTAATAATTACATGTACATTTGTTTTGTATAATTGTACTTAATAAATCATTAATATTTAAAATATATAACCCTATACTAGTATAATAAAAGGATAATATGCAAATTGACCCTAATGGTCGAATGACTGGGAATGACCAGTTGCTATGATGTGCACTGACCACCAGAAGGTAGATGCTCAATGCAGGAACTGTCCCCTGGTGGTCAGTGCGCTTCCACAGGGGGAGACTGTCGTAAGTGTTTCCCTCACGTCCTGCGGTGGTTCAGGGTTCGGGTCTGGAAGAGGAGCCGCACAACAAATGAAAAAGAAAAGACACGAGATAATTTGGGAATATTGGGGGATTT